AAAAATTTATGTCTTTAAAAGGAAAAAATTGAGGAAATTTTAATTTTGCAAAAAAATTAAAAAAATGGCGGTAAAATCCAGCCAGTTGGGGAAAAAAATTTTTTCCAAGTGTTGGGAAAAGGGAGTAAATTTTTCTGGGGGCCGATCAAGAGCCGTTTTTAAGGGGAAACCCCCCCAGCCCCCCCCCCCCCCCCCCCCCTCCCCAGGACTCCCGGTCGCAGGAAGCAAAAAAAGCCCGATCTGAATAGGGTTAAGGGATGCTTAGAAAGCAAAAAACTCCTCAAGTTATGAAATTTCGAGAGAAACTAACACTGTTAAAAATTAAAAATTGAACCCAATTTCTGCCACTTGATCATTTTAAATACATCTTTTTGTTTCTTAAATCAGTCACTAAAAAGTCTGGATAACACTAAGATTTATAATAAATTTGTTATAATATTGCATAATAAAGTGTAATGCTATAATTCAATACATAGAAATAAATCATTTTTATAGGAAAAATGCAAATTTTGAAAACATGACTATCAAAACTTGGTTGCCATGGTAACATCATTGTTGTCGTACACGTCTCAACGACTTTAAAATGTTCGCAGACAATTTTTAGGCGAAGTCGCTAAGTTTGGCGGTTAAACGGTTTTGAACGCATGATTGAGAGCGCTCTGAATAGGGTTAATCTACGAAGGCTTCTGTAGACATTATGTTATAATGTAGATATTTTTAAAATGGTGAATCAATCACAAGGCCCTGTGCAGCTGTTTCTCATTGTTTCCTAAAAGAAGCAATTTTCACTTCAGTCATTGGTGTGGCTTAAATTAAGCGGGGTTTTTGTTACCATAACTAAATGCTTATGACCGAATAAATCTATATCTCTTTTAACGTTCCCTAACGGGTTCTTATTAAGTGGACAGTTGGTATTTCTGATGGTAGATTATGGACTTTCATGTGCATTTTCGGCCACAGTAGGACTTAAATAGGGGATAAACGAAGAGAATTGAAATGCTCCGGATTAGGCAATTTCCTTTTCGTATTCTTCGCTTTATCTCTTTCCTTCGCTCAATTTTAAAATACGCACCTTCTTAATTCTCTAACCTCTTGTCCAGTGATGGGAGTGTACGTATTTGTTTGGGCCATCTGTAGCTCATTTTATACCTTTCTCTGTTTTAGGGAGCGTATGGCTACACTTGAGGGTTAAGTCAACGGGTTTTTTTTACCACAATTGCAAGGTTTATTTTTACTTCAAACGCGTCTTGTTTTGTCTGCAGTACATGCTGTTGATACAGGTATAACTTACAGGTACTTCAGTAACACGCGTGGAATTTTCCAAATGACAAAATGTTATATGTAAATCACACTGTAACTATAAGCATTGGCCCGTTGGTCTAGGGGCATGATTCTCGCTTAGGGTGCGAGAGGTCCCGGGTTCGACTCCCGGACAGGCCCTTTGCCTTTTTTCATTTTTTCTTTTTCTTTTTTTCTTTTTGGTTGTTAGGTTCTTTTGGTTTAGTTAATATCCGTAAAATGAAAATACACAGTTGCACAAACAAATCCCTGGGCTAAATTCTGCTTAAAATCATGTAGCTACCAAAACTAACAATTTTTAATTGGCTAAAATCGTCCTAACAAGTGAAAAATAATCGCATGTTGTGTACGCAACCTACGGTTAGCTGCGAGAAGGAAGCTTTGCGTTGGGCTCAAACTGACAGAGGAGATGAACTTTCTTGTGCAAAATCTTTCAATCAAAGTTAAAATAAATTATATGGAGTTTGGCATATTCACTTTTATAAAGAGTCCACCTGTTTGCAAGGCTCGAAACTTTTAAAATCTTTATTCTCCTCGGTATTCTCTCTACTCCTTAGCCCTGTTTCTATGACGATGGCCGTTAAACAAAGCTTGTCCTTTAAAAACATCTATTCTATTCTTAATTCAAAGGATTCAAACATCCAATTTCTAACAAAGTCAAAAGTGTTCATATTCTCAGCAAGGCTTGATGATTATCACGAAATGTCGCGTTTTTTTCGGACAGGTTTTTTTTCTCCGTCATCACTCAGGACCTTGAGAAACTACGACGACGACGACGACGACGACAACGATCGATAACGCAAAAAAACAAAAAAAACAATTGGTTTTATGAGCAAAACAACAGCTCTGCACGTGCATCAAGCTTTTTAGTACAACTTTTTGACGTCCACTGCACCTCCCAATGCGACGTTGAATGGAGGACCTGGAGAGACGACGACAAATTATTCTTTAACTATTTTAACATGGATAAAGCCCTTAAGAATTCAACTCCAGGAAAAGTCGCCTACATTTGACGAATTGAACGGTTCCAAATAGACGCGATAAAGTTTGAAAGGACCCATACTCATTATCATAATAATGTTTTGACTGCCGCCGCCGACGTGCTGCATAACAAAGTATCCAGAGTTTCAGGTCCGTAAACTACCCAAATGAGTCATCACTTTTATTATTTTTCTTTTCGACCTAAGCTATATTGAGAGACATCTTAGTCGAATTCAAATTTCCTTTTAACTTTTGAATGCTCTTTCTTTTTATTGCATGCACCGGATCTAGTATTGGTCGTATTACCGTATTTCCTCGAATAATAGCCGGGGACGATTATTCCGCACCCTTTTTTGCTCAAAAAAGAGGCGATTATTCGAGGGAAGGCGATTTTTCGAGGGAAGGGGATTATTCGAGGAAAGCGATTATTTCAAATATTGCTCACTGGAAGTCGTGCCCTAAATATTTTGTTTTATTTCACCAATAAATAAAAAAAAATAATCGCATCAAATAAACTGAACACAAGAAATTTAAGTGTGCCCAATTTAGTTCCTTGATTAATTTTCATAGTTTGAATCGTCACTGATCAATTATGCTGGATCACATTGCACTTTAATGGATTAAATTAAATTCACTTGAATATGTCTGTCAAAGGGGGGCGATTATTCGATAGCCTGTGTACAGACGTCCCCCCCTCCCTCAGGAAAAATCGGGAGAGATTTTTCCTGAGGGAGGGGGGACGTCTGTACACAGGCTATTATTCTAGGGAGGCGATTAATCGAGGGACGGCTATTATTCGAGGAAATACGGTATTTGTTATGCCACTGAATAAATTCAAATCGGGTGTTAGTGGACACAGCTGCAGAGGGCTGATTTTAATTTTGAGTATACTAAAATCTTGAGTGCGAAAAACGAAAGAAACACCATTAATTAATCAAACTTTTGTGACATTCTTAATTTCAAAACGTGTTTTTGTTAAGTGTTTCCACCGGACGAGACTCAACAGCTTTCCGTAAGGAACAAAATATACGATCATTAGTCACTGCTTGCTATTCATTGATTGGCTATGGCCTTTACTAGGCTTTTGGCAATTTTAAACAAATATTGCGCATCAAACTTTCCATCGCACGCTTTATTAACTATCGTCTTCTCATAAAAAGGTAGGGATCACGAACACTTTCAATTGTTAATCATCTTTAACGAAAAGTAAAAAGTCGAAGGTAAAATTTGGTCATCAAGATATAGGGCTACTGAGAAACGTTTATTCAAATCGACAGAATTTTCCATATACTGACGTATTCTTCTTTTAAAATGTAATTGGCAGGTTAAGTCAGTGATGATGGAACCTGACGGTCCCTTGCTCATTTTGGATTTGGCCTTCAATATATTTTTATCCTACACCGCCACGATGTTGAATATCTTAACAATAATGGCACTGAAGAAAACTAAGGTGTTGCCAAAAACTCTAAAGACATTACTCATGAGTTTAGCCGTCTCTGATCCTGGCGTTGGCTTAGTAGTTCAACCTTTGAAGGTGGCAACAAGTCAGACTTCAGCCTTCAAAGACCTGATCAAAGCGTTTGAAATCACTGTATTTCTACTGTGCAACGCTTCGTTTTTTGGTGTCATTGCTCTGACTGTGGATAGATTCTTAGCCATTTATCTCCATCTCAGATATCAAGAATTTGTGACTCGCAAGCGTGTTGTTACTACGGTGGCCTTAATATGGACATTGAGCACATTCTCTTCTCTCTGGGAGCTATGGAACTCACATATACACAACATTATAAGCGCTATAATTCCGCCTATTTGCCTTATTTCCACAGGATTTTTTTATTGTAAGATTTATGCAGCTGTACGACGCCACCGGAAAGACATTCACGTCCTTCATCTCCAACAAAAAGCACAGGACAGGAAAGTAGTTTCAAACGCTGAGAGAATCAGAAAATCCGCAGTTGGTACATTTTACGTGTATATCTTATTTTTAGTCTGCTATTTACCTTACATATGTATTAATTATATATACATAATATCAGGAACAAATAGTCTTCTCAAAGCAACTGAAAACTACAGTCTTACACTACTGTTTCTCAATTCATCTCTTAATCCTCTGGTTTACTGCTGGAAAATGAAAGAAATTCGTCACGCCATCATGGAATTGCTGCGCAGTGTTATGCTTTTCCGAAAACAAGCAAATCCTCGGTAAATTCTTAAAAAGGCGAAATGATTTTCTTGTACATAGTGATGTGGTTTTTGATGATCGATGATGATGTGAATGAGGATGATGATGAGGATGATGATGATGATGATGTTAAGCCTAATTTGATGCAATTTTTATCGGAATCTACATGTAAGTGGCTTTTTACCAACCTTAACCAAAGACAATATCACTTTCACAAAGTTGCCTTGAAGTGAGGGACTGTGCAATGATCGTCAAAGGATGGTGGCGGACAAATGGGCTTCAAAGGGGAAATTATTATGTAGTGTCCCCCTGTTCGCAAAAGCAGAATTAGTGCAGCCCCCCCACCTCTTGATCTCTTGACAATTTTTACTCCACCCTCCCCCTACACCAAATATAAATAAATGTATCTGTGGAAGTTGAAAAGCTTGAAAACCGTCCTCTCTGTTCGTTGCCCAAAAACTCTGTTCTGTCGCACTTTGGAATAAACCAGAAATGGAGGGTCTGAGGACAAGCAAACCCAATAATACGTATCATCATCGACAACAACAACAACAACAACTGAAATAATAATAATAATAATAATAATAATAATAATAATAATTGCGGGCGACAAGAGGAGTCCGCAATCCTAATCTCCAGGTTGTTATTACGCATGCGTCGCATGTATGTAGCCATCATTCGATTGGACTTCCACTAAGAATGAACGGAATACAGAGAACGCAATTCGATCGCACGCGTTTCGGCCTTCTACCCCATCGTAATCTGACCACGCGTGTTTTGACCATGTGTCAGTGAGATGACGCAAAGCACAATTTGCCATTTCGGAGTTTCTTGGGGAACTAGGGCGAATTTCAAATTTAAACTTATCGATTAACTGACACCAACATATAAAAGGTCATGTTGAGGTTGTTTTTTTTTTAAGTTTGTTGCTCTAAGGTTGAACAGGCATCAAGTTATGACTCTTGAAACATGGTTAAAGATTTATACAAAAGTCTGTAATTTTGTGACAGCTTCCCCCCAAACCATATAAACTGTTAATGAGCAAACATAGAGATTGTCGAATTAGTTCTTCCCAAGTATTAGATGCATGACGGATTGTACAGTATAACAGAAAAACTGAAAAATATTTTTAATTTGAAATTTGTCCCAGTTCTCTACGCAACTCCGAAATGGCCAATTAAAGTGTTTTTTAAAACCTTCGATCGTTGTCGCCCGCACTCCGTAACCTTTGGTTATTATTAATAATAATAACTGACTAATAATAATAATGATAATAATAATAACAACAACAATCCATTGAACGTTTTTTAGCACAAGTTTCTCAAGTGTGGTGGTGGCGGAACGTGTTCGAGTGGTCTTTGGTCGTCGAGGGGACAGTAAATGTTGATCTGAAAGGACAAGACGATTTTAGCTCTTTTTTAGTAACAACCAGTGTTAACTTTTTGGAATGAAAATTGTTTCTGAAAAAACGAGAGTAATCTGAGCGAGTGATCTCAGGCTCCTGCACAGAGCGGTTTCAAATTTTAGTGCAAGTTTACAAAAAAGATTAGTCATTCGGACCACATTTATTTTCTTACCATGCCCTGCTGTGGTATAAAACAGGTGATAAATAATTTTGTGCGCCAAAGTTAATAATAGATGTGGTAATAATAATAATAATAATAATAATAATAATAATAATAATAATAATAATAATAACAATAATCATAATAACAATGATGATAATAGGAATAAATAAATCCCCCAATGCTCAATTTTCTATGCTGTTTCAAGTCTTATTCAGCTCCCCTGAAAGGGGGTTGGAATAATTTTGGTCCAACTTCCTTTTTTTGTCGGTCTTTGTTCCTTATAATTTACAGAGGGTCTCAATTTGGTAACTCAATAACCGAAACAGGTACTGTGAAACTCACAAAACCGTGAGCACTAGAAATATTCATGAAATGTTATTGTGTTGCGAAGAGAAAGGTAATAAGGCGTGAGAAACCTAAACCGCAAACATCAACAATGAGTTAGTTTGTGGCTTTGTGGTTTGCTCGCGTGTCCTGAAGTTCATTGTGATTAGTCACTACACAGTCAACATTCCTGAAAATTTTCAGCCGTTCACGCCGGGTTTTCTAAGTTTGAAAGTAAATTTTAGGCATTTTAACACTAACAGTTAAAAAATTCTTTGAAACAGCAATTTTTTTTTAGAAAGAGGCAAAAACGGTTCCAAAAAAGCCAATGTTATTTTTTTACTATGTCAAGGAGTTTTTGGCCATTTTACGACAATAGGCCATTTGCATGATGACGTCTATTTTACTACTGAGACCAGAATTCATTCCGTTTTTTCTTTCATATTTAAATTTGTTAATCCCATTGAGGTTGGAATAACAAAAGATCTAATTTGCACAAGGAAGCAAAACCCTGAAGGATTCTGGTAGTAGTAGCAAAATGACGTCATCGTACAAATGGCCTATTCTGGATTATTTTCAAAACATTTCCGAAGCTACCGAAGATTCCCGAAGACTAACGAAGAGGTCCAACCACTGCTGAACACATCCGAAGAACCCTCCCAACACTTAACAGTATTTTCTTCCGAAACAGTAAACATCAAAAAATTGGCCAATTTAACAGCAAACACTAAAAATTATGGGCAAATAACACCAAACATTAAACCTCATTAATTCAGACCCTCTTTACATGCTCATTGTAAACATTCAAACGGGGGGTTTGGTGTTGCAGAGGTTGTGATTGCCAAATCCCTACTGCAAAAGACTGAAAACACACCGCACCTGAATTCAAAGAAAACATTGTTAGATCTTGTTGTTTTTCATTGGAGAAGGCCTTAAAAAAGGAGACACTAACTTAAACTACTAAAAACTGGACAGCTGCATAAATTTTACAGGAACTCATTTTCATTCATTCATTCATTTATTCATTTATTTATTTTTGCCATTAACCACAAATACAACTACATTAAACAGAAATTTATAATACGTAACGGTTCAAAGTGATCAAAACTCCCCGAAACAAAATACTGAAACAACAAAAAGTAAAGTAAGAAACATTCACCACGACTAAACAAATTCCAATAATACTTAACCACTTTTAGATCCCCAAATTGCATCGATTTTTTAATTCTGCTTGAGATGTATGTTGCGTATCACGCAAAACGTCATCAATCTCTTCCTTAGAGCTTTAACCCTCGGACGTACACACAAAATCACACCCTTCACAGTGGTACAAGGTGGGGGGGGGGGGGGGGTGGTTAGGATAGAACCCCTTTCTCGAGTTTTTGATATGTTGTAGTATTTCGAAAAGAGAACCGCGAGAGAAACTTTGGGATCTTGTAAAAGAAGCAAACTTAAAATTTTGTACAAACTGTATTTACTGCGTTGGATGCTATACAAAGTGAGGACAGCCATGTTGTTGATTTTTGAGTGTTAATATGATGGCGGGAACATGTATGGTGAGGGGCAGAACTTTGACCCCCTAATGCCAGATCATTTTAGCTGTATTACTTCAAAACGTACATCGATCGGTCTCCGTCTAGTCTAGCCTGGAGATTGAAGAAACAAAACACATTAATTTTACACTACAGTCACTACACTACTCTAAACGTCTTTTCTTACTTAACAATACACCTCGCACTAGGCAAATGCTACCCGAAGTTATCAACACTCGCCCATAATCTGCCCGATGGGGGTGGATTTGGCTCCTTTTTTTTTTCCTAAAGAAATTCATAAATTGTCTACTGAAACACTGTAAAATTTGGAAGAAAGGCCAATTTAAGCCCTAGAAGGCTGCTCCGATATGGAATGCCTGTGTAACAACACGCGATTTTTTATGTTATTTGATACATGGAATGTGAAAAAAATAATAATAATAAAAAAATTGAAACTTTAAATTCAGTCAATCGACTGTGAAGGAGGCTTTTACATGTCTCTAAAACTGATCGCTTTTTCTTGGCAACTCCTCTCCTCCTCACCTTACCCCTCCCCCAACATCTCCTTAAGTTGTGACCGAGTGGAGCTTGAAGACCAGGGGAAACCAAGATGGCGCCTTTATAGCGCCTTATGATAGCGCCCTTGTCCAACTTCAAATCATGACTATGCACTCCAGATTTAGTGTGTAGTTTCTTCAAGTTCATTAGTTACATTTTTCAAAGGGAAAGTGACAAACCAGTGCTGGAAATTACTGTCGGACATCCAAAATTGTCCTATGAAAGTTTCCAACTAATGTTGCAATATGAGCAGACACAATGTCCGAGCACTTAATTGACTTGACTCTTGTCTTGGAAGCTTCTTAACATTTGAAAACATTAAAAGGTAAAAAGATAAACTTTGCATTCCTGTGAAAGAGTCTCTATTTTGAGGAAACACGAAAACATTGAAAGCATACACTTTTTTGTCTTCCTATCCGATACTTATCCGGTGAAACGAAGCAGCTCTCTTTGTTAGCGAATTGTCGCGTTTTACTTTCCATATATGAAATCTAATTTGTGCACCTGAAAACACATGCTTTAAAACTAAAATGGCTGCCTGTTTCAACGATCTGAAAGATGAAGAAGGAGGGTTTCGGAATTATGCACAGATGCGAAATCGCATAATTTGGCTCTGAGTGCATAATTCGCATAATTAAAAAAAAAACGCATAATGGCGCATAATTTTCAAAAAATTTGAAAAATCTATTAATGAGCTATGTTTTTTCATACCTTGAGAGATGTATGGAAATTTTTTCCCCTAAATATAGTACATTTTCGTAGCAAATAGCCACCACTTCGTCGCAAAAAGCGTTCACACATATTGCAAATCAACAAGGCATTCCAGGCGTTCCATGCTGCTGGTTGTTGGGGCCTGTGTTCTAGTTTTTCATGAATGCGCCATGATTGTAAGAAATATAACCAATCACAGCTTGGAAAAGAAAAAAAGCGCCCAGCTTCAAATAGGTTGGCGGCAAAACAACGTTCTTTCCCGTGTTTTCGCTTTGAAAATGGATAAGTT